CTTTCCCTGGCTGATGGGGTCCTTCAAGCCCTGCCTCTTGCCATCCGGCTCCTGGCCTCTCCATCTCGCTCAGGCTTCCTCTGCTCCTGGAACTTGATGGAGCTCTGGCCTCCCAACATCAGCCTTTGCAGATCCCTCCGTTGGAAATCCTCTTCGGCTTTGTCTCCCTAACTCATCAGCTAAAACATCATATGCTAAAGGAAGCCTGCCCCGACCCCCCAGCTCCAGTGGGTCCCCCATTCCTTTTACACCCTCTCATCATCCCCTAGCACCTCACACTCACGACATTTTGCACAGTTCAATGTCTGCTTCTTCCATCACACTGACAGTTCCGTGAGGTCAAGGTAACTGGTGGAAGTTTTCTGTTGGACAGGCAGCCTTCAGGGCAGGGCAGGGCTGGAGCTCCTCCTCCTTCTCCCACCTCCTCCCCAACAGAGGCAAGGATGGAGCTGGACCCAGAAAGCCTCAGCCTGGAACCACGGACTGGTTTTTCCTCCTTACGAGGAGGGCCAGGAGCCCCTGTACCCACCACCTCTCTGCTGGGAGCCTGCTGGCCTCCGTACATTTTCCTTCCCACCACCTTGCTCCACCCTCCACAGGAGGCCAGTAGAGAGGCTCCTCATTCAGAAGAAATTGTTTCTTCCTCCTCTTGTTGCCATGGAGACCACTCTCCTTCACCTGCCCTTCCAGTGGCAGAGCTGAAGGAGGCGGGCTGAAAGCTTCAAGCAGGGGAGGGCCTCAGCGTGCGTTCAGCCCCTCGTTCCTGATGCTTGATGAGGCCGTGGAATCTAAGGTTAAGAATTCAGCTTTCAGAGTCAGACCTTCAGGGTCTAAGTTCCAGCTCCGGCTCTCTGTTCCATCTTGGGCGAGACACCTCACCCGTCTGAATCTCAGTTTTGTCATCTGTAATGGGAATAAAAATAGTACCTGCTTCATAGCGTTACTGTGAGGACTAAGGAAGATTAAAGAAAGGAAGTGCACTTAGCAGACACGTGGTAAGGGCTTCACACATATAAGCTATCGTGTAGATGCCCGTGATGTACGAGCCAGGCACTGCGACAGGCAGACAGGCACGGATGGACAATGGCAACACGACGACCAATTGGGGAGGATTTGTTTCCACATGTGTCATCTTCCCTGAGCCTTTTCCACATGTTCAACTTAGTTTCCAGAAAAATAATAACTCCTGCTTCCCCCCGCCCCTCATATTTCATTGGTAGAGGACACGAATTAAATTCCCTAATTACAATAATAAATCCAGCAAGCATACAAGAAGTGTGGGAACACACACTTCCGATGCCTGGGAAACAACTCAGCTAGGGGAGGAAGTTGAGCAGGCAACACAGCAGCGTTTTTCAAACCGCAGCTCACAACGCTTAGAGAGCCGTTGTAACAGAAACTTAGCGAGCTGTCACCGCGACTTTTTCTTTTTCTTTTTAATGAAATAGAAAATATGTCAAAGCACCTCACACATAGTCAAGTATTGTTTCAGGAAGTTTTTGTTTTAGTTACACATATGTGTGTGTGCGGGGGGGGTCTCACCTGGGTCCTGAGCCCCCAAACATGATGCTCCTTGTGCTAGAAGAGCACCTCCTCCCCTGCCTCCCACTTCCCCACATACACACTCAAACACACACAAACACACACATTCTTTGCTTGGTGAACTGATTTTCTAGGTCTCAGCTTTAAGCGACATAATTTTTGTGTCATAATTTTCTTTGATGAATCGATTACTGGTTATTTAATTTATTCATGTCCGTTTCTCCCCACACACTAGATCTGAGCTCCTGGAGGTAAGGAATGCATCCGTTTTGTTGACCTTTGTGGACCATTGTTAGCACAGTGCTGAATCTATCAAGACATAAGTAGGTATTTGGAAAGGGATGGATACACCTGCCGGGGAGAGGTGCAGGCTGAGGAGATGCAGTGTGGGGCGCTGGTGAGGCTCATGGACCCTGGTCCCAGACTGAGTTTGAATCCTTGCTGCATACTAACCGGGGGGGAAATTGGGGCCCCACCTGACCTCCCTACACCTCCGTTTCCTCATCTAGCCCTTGGCTGCAATGAGGGGCTCATGAGTTCCTCCTGTAAAGTGCTTGGAACACCAGTACCTGGTGTATAGTAAGTGCCTCGTATTAATCGGTCTCCTCCCGTGGGGAGGGTCCCTTCGCAAGAGTGTGGGTGAGATCACCCAGAGGTGAAGAATGGGGTTAAGGACTGAGCTTCAAGGTGCCCATCAGTCGAAACTCGGGGTGGGGGGTGGGGGGTTTTAGGTGAGGACGGCAGCAAGGAAACGGAAGGGGGCGCATGGCCAGTGCTGCCTTGAGGTGGAGGGGGGACGGGGCTTTCTAAATGGTGGATTTTTTAGTTTGGATGCTAAAGGGAGGGAGGGAGGGAGGGAGGGAGGCACTCAGCTGGATAGTGGGGACGGGGCGGGGAGCGTACTTGGAGGAGGGGGGGAGGTGCACCCAATCTGTCCCCTCTTCCAGGATGGACTTTCCTGGGGGTCAGCGCGGGTGGCAAGTTTGGGGGACAGAGGGTCAGTCTCAGGAAGGCACAGGGTCACGAGGGAAGTTTGAAACAAAACTTCCACAGGAACCCAAGGCTCCGAGCTCCCCCAGCCCAGGTTCTTTCTGACAAAACCACTGAGACCTCCAAGCAGGGTGGGAGGGGCCCCTAGGAGCTCGGGACCCCGCCTCCGCCCCGCCCGGTCAGAGCAGCCAGAACCCTTTGTAGTTGAGGAGGGAGCCCAGCGACCTGGGGCCGAGCGTCAGGAGGTGGCGCCGGGGCTGCGCCGGCGCGGGGGAAGGATTCCGCAGGCTGAGCGGGCGGGACCCGAGAATACAAAGAGGCCTCAACGCGCAGCTCCCGGCCCGCCAGACAACCAGAGACATGAATGGGGACGGCCGGGCCAATCCGAGAGCAAGATTCACAGCCGCGGGCGCAGGGGCCAATCGGATCCCCGACGAGGCAGCGAGGCGGGGACGGAGCCAATCAGCTGTGAGGACAGGGCCAGGGGGCGGATCCGCGCGGTGTTTCAAATCCTCTGGATGGGTGAGGAGCAGCTGTGCTCGGCGTCTGGTGAGCGTTGGGCGCTCTTGGGTGAGTGCGGGCCGGGGCGTGGTAGGGCCTCTGATAAGAAGGGACGGGAGGGGGGACCTCCCGTTAGGACGGACACATGTGGGGCTTCTGGGTATAGCCGGATGGACATTGGGGTGTCTGGTCAGCCCGCCAGAGCGCGTTGGGCCAGGGCGAACCCGTGAAAGAGCCGCTGGTCCTGCCCTGGACCAAGTGCTGAGGCTCGGTGACGGCCGGCCAGTCCTGACTGCCTCCCTCTCCGCCTGAGGCAGATAACGGAAAGGAGGCTGGGATGAAAAGACAGCTTGTTTCAGACACTTGCAGCACGGGACACATTGCTGACCGGCCTTGTTCAGCCTCTACCCTCCTCTGGTCCTCGCTGACCCCTCTTCCAGGAAGCATCCTCCTTCCTGCACCCACAGTTGCCAAGTGCCCCACCCCACGGGCCCCCATCCCATCTCTTCCCCCGGTACTCAGGGTGTCTTTGAAGCCTGGGAATGGGACAGTGGGGGGATGCCTTGCCGACCTCCCTTTGACTTTGATCTCCTCTCCAGGGTCTGCTGGGCAGAACAGACTCTCGGCCAGGCAGATGGCTTCTCGGTGGCCGGCCGTGGGGGCCTCCATGCGTCGGAGGTCCCTACAGAACCAGGGGCAGCTGCAGGAGAGCGAGGCCCTACAGCCTGCAGTTGGCCACCCAGACACCTCCAGCGGGGCCCTGGACTCCCTGTGCAGACAGTTCCAAAGGAGGCTGCCCCTGAGAGCAGTCAGCCTCAACCTCAGGGCGGGCCCCTCCTGGAAACCCCTGGAAACCCCACAGCCAGGACAGCAGGGCCTCCAGGCTGCAGCTCGCTCGGCTAAGAACGCCTTGGGTGCCGTGTCCCAGGTAATGTCGAACATCACCTTTCTTGGTGCTGGATAATAGCTGCCCCCAAGAATATAGACTCCGTGAAGACAGGGCCTTTGATTTGTTCATTGCTGTGTCCCCAGCACTCCAAACAGTTCCTGGCACGTAGCAGGTGCTCAACAGATAGCTGAATGAGTGAATGAAAGCAGTGTTGTGAGGAAACAGAGCCTCATAAGACAAGATGATAGAGCTGTATTGTGATAGGAAATTGCATTCAAGGGGCTAATGGTGGGGGAACACCAAAAAGAAGCTTAGTCAGTGAAGGCTTCCCGGAGGAGGTGATTCCGTGGAATTCGCCCAGGAAAGGGGGGAGTATGAGGAGTGTACAAGGCGGGCTGAGGGAGGGCAAGATGCTGAAGAGAACTGGCAGGAACTCAGTCTACGAATGGCCGGAGGACAGAGCGCAGCGTGGGACGTGAGAGGGGCTCGGTGCGCCGAACATGTTTAGATGCTCCCAAGAGCGACTGGGAGCCCTGGGAACCAATGGCAAGAATTTGCAACTCGGTGGGAATTGGGTCCGATTAGCATATCAGAGCTTGTTCTTTAGCTACTTGATGAAAAGGGGGTTAGAAGAAGGTTCGCCTCTCGGGGGGTCTGGGGGTCTGCGAGGGTTTGGTGTCAGATGGGAGGTGTGGGCAGGAAGAGGCCACGTGTGCTGGGGGTGACGGGTCCCTGGGCCTCCCAAGTGGCTGTGTCTCCAAACCTAGAGCTGGAGGTGTGGGGAGGTGTCACCTAGGAAGGACAGGAGCTGTGAGAGTGGACAGGCCTCCAAGGAGAGAACTGGGGGTGGACAGGGCATCTCCTTGCTGTCTGAGTGGGAATCTGAAGGTTTGGGAGAGGGAAGCATTTCTGGACCCTTTGAGGAGAAGTCTCTGAGCCAAATGTCAGTCCCTGAGAAGGATCTCTGTGCAACACTGTGGACGGTAGATTAGAGTGAGGGAGACCAGAAGCCGGCAGAGAAATTATTTCACGGTATCCTGTGGGTAGGCCTGCTCTCCTCTGGGCCTCCCCTTTGAGTCTGGGTCAGTCTGTCCCGAAAGAGGGTTTGGACTTAGACCAAACGCAGACTCCATGAGCCCGCGTGGTTCTGCTGCTGGCCACGCACTCATCCCTGGGGGCCCTGAGCTGGGTCCTTGCCGTGGACCCATTCCACATGGACTCATCTGCAATCCTCACCTTGAGACTAAAAGCTGCCTGGATTTGTAGGACCAGCTGGTGGGCCGAAGTATTGGGGGTGTGGCCTGGGCACTCTGGGGTGGCTCACTCTTGGCCTGTCCATGCTGACCTTTCCGTGTACCTGTCACAGAGAATCCAGGAGTCCTGCCAAAGTGGTACCAAGTGGCTGGTGGAAACCCAGGTGAAAGCCAGGAGGAGGAAGAGGGGGGCACAGAAGGGCAGTGGCCCCCCAGCTCGCAGCCCGAGCCACAGAAGCACCCGGCTATCAGTGGCTGCCCCTGCCCGCTCAACCCTGGACCCCCGGGAGAGGGCGAATCGCCGCCTCTCCACCCAGATGGGCCCGCACGCCCACCCTCGGCGGCGGTCCAGGAGGGAGGCTGCCTTCCGGAGCCCCTACTCCTCAGCAGAGCCCCTCTGCTCCCCCAGGTACGTGCAGTAGTGCCTGCCTCGCAAACGCTAACTGGGCCCTGGGGGCTGCTGAGCCCCTCCTGGGGCTACCTGGAGCCAGGGACACCCTGAGCGGAGTCATATCCGTGCTCTGGCTCAGCTCTGCGCCCTGCTGGTGGGGGATCTGGGGATGTCCTTCAGGGTCTTAGTTTCCCCACCTGCCAAAGGAAGAGGCGAGCTTAACTCTGGGAGTATCACAGTCACCCAAGCCTCCTGCGGAGCCCAAAAGCAAGTTTTGAAGCCATCTGGAGGGCTGAGGCTCACCTGTCTACAGGATCACCTGCCCTTGACCTGGTGGGCCTTGATCCAGCTTTTCTCTGCCATCTGCTCCAAGCTGCTCTGATGTCACTTCCTGGAATGGGGGTCTACGGTGACACGTTCCCAGCCCGTGTGGGTCATCTGGGCCCATACACCAGGCCCGGTGCCGGATGGGAAGGGCTCCTGTCACAGGTTTCCAACTAATGACTGATATGTGTGGCTTTTCCTTCCGTTCAGCGAGTCTGACAGTGACCTAGAGCCCGTGGGGGCAGGAATCCAGCATCTCCAGAAGCTGTCCCAAGAGCTGGATGAGGCCATCATAGCCGAGGAGAGGTGAGCTTGCATACCATGCTTCAAAGGGACACGGCCGGGAGGGTCCGCCTTGAGCCAGCCACGTTTTTTTGGCGGGCTCTGGCTCTGCCCTGCTGTGTGACCCTGGCCATCCGTCTCCCTCTCTGAGCCTCTGTCTCCTCTGCAACATGCCTTGGTCTCCTCCTTGATGAAAGACCTAGATTGGGGTGGTGGTTAAGGACATACCCTGCATGTATGTGGCCCCCTGGGCCTCGGTCCCCCCCATTTGTCCATCACATGTGGCCGGGTCCCTGGTTCCTGAAAGACCCACCCTTCCTCTGCCACTCCCCATGGCTCCTCTCGGCCCTGCCCGCCCACGGAACTGGGGAAGGCATCCTGGCTGCCGTGAAATGCCTGGTCTGTCTGCTTATGACAGCGTCCCGGGGGCAGGGCCTGGGCCTGGAGCTGCCCTAACTGGGGGCCGTTTGTACGTGGCTGTGACGGCCTCTGAGGCGGGGCCCTGCCGGCTCTGACTACCTGCTGAGTGGGCCATGTCCCCGCCACGTTGCCAGGTCTGCTCTTGTCTAGCTCAGGCGGGGAGGGTCCCTCAAAGCCTGCGGCACCCAGCGGCATCTGTCCCTCCTGCTTTCCCACCTCTAGTGGCGACATGACTGTTTCTCTCATTCATGACTGAGGACAGCATCCTTCAGGTAATGCCCTCCTCCTAAGCATCTTTCTCTGTGTCTTCCCCCTCCCCCCTCCTCCTCTTGCACGAGCCCATAGACATACTTGGACGCGTGTTAAAGAACTGAGTCTTTTCTGGAAAAAGCCACAGAGCCGATGGGCCCCACGGAGCAGGAAGGTGCGAGTCTTCTGAGCTGCCCGGAGCCGGAGCTGCTGACCTCACTGGGCCCATCACTGATGGAGCAGAGCATGCCGGGGCCCCAGGCAGCCGCAGCCACCTTCTAGCACCTCACTTCGGGGGGCAGTCTATGGTGTCCCCGCCTCCCCTGGCTTCAGCACTGTGAGGGGCATGAAGGGAGCTCTGTCTTGCAGGAAGCAAGCCATAGCTGACCACCATGCCCTCACACCCAGGGTCCGCGCCTCCCGGGAGTTCCTGGAGGACCCAGGAGCTGGCGGTGCCCCTGGGCTGCGGCAAACAGGGACCGGACTAACAAGGGCCCAGGTGGAGGCTGCTCGGGGGTCTCTGCCCTCCTTCTCCAGCCACTTCCCCGCCCGCCAGTGACCACTTGCCGCAGTCTGCGAGTGACTTGGGGAGACCTCGGAGAGGCGGGGGGACTGCTCATCCTACTCCCCTTTGGGGCCTGGAAACGCATCCCACACGTGAGCTTTACAGACACCTGCTTCACTCGCAAAGTGCAGTGCAAGCACAAGGTAACGTTTGAGAGCTCTGAGCTGCGTACCCAGGAGTAGGGTCTGCAAAGAGCCATCTCCTGTGTCACCAGCGCGGGGGCTCTTGGGAACCCAGATTCCAGCCCTGTTGCCCACAGCAGAGCCCCGGAAGAAGGGATGGGAGAGAGTTCCCGGCCCCAAGACCCTGAGTCCACAGGTACCTATTTACATTCTCAGCACAGGGCACTGTGGGCGTACAGGGAGTGGTAACCCTGTTCAATAGCAATTTCTGCCCTTTGTAAATTATTTAAGAAATCTGCTTTGTCATTTTATTCGAAGGAAACCAGTGTATGAGTTTCCTAGACAACACTGCTTTTTCATAATAAAGACTCTCTTTCTGTATCTGACGTCTCTTCGTTGTCACCCTACCCCCTGAGCCGCTCTGAGCAATAGGTCTGTGGTCTAGGGCCCGGCTTTGTCGCCCTCATCCACCCGGACTCCAAGCCAGCCTGCCCCCAGCTCAGGCGGAACATGAGAATGGGAAGGGTCTCTCGGCTTAGATCAGAGCAGAGCACATTTTAAAGGCAAATAAGGTTTTTATTTAAGTGACAACATTTGAGAGTTAAAAACCAGCTCACATCAAAATCAAGACCAGTTGTAAAAATCTTTTAACTCTGTAATGCTGTTTTTGTCGTGTTAGAAATCTGATACTTTACATTTTCTTTTCTAACGGATTTTGTACAAGGCAGCCATGAGAAAGAGAATAAACCTTTTTCACCACAGAACCGTCCACCACAAATAATACTGAGAGTTACATACTTAGGAACAGTCAGACGGACAAGATCAGACCGGCTGCCACCGCCGAGTAGACAAACAGAAACGGACAGCGGGGTCCGAGGGTGGGAGTCCCACCCCTCCTTGGTGTCACCTGCCTCTCCTTGTGCCCGTGAGGGTGGCGGTCAAATTCCTGATGTTTTTTGCCATCCACCCTGTTGATTTCTCGGCAAGGAGACAAGGACCCAGGCCAGGCCTCGCTGCTTGGACTTAACCCTACTTGGTCGGGGGGTGGGGGGCGGAGGAGGGGAGGTTTCTTTTGGCTGAGCCAAAGAGAATAGGTTTCCAGAGCACTGGGCACCCAAACCCCCGGGGATTCGGCAGGAAAGTTGGTTATTTAAGGCGGGGTCAAGCTGAGGCTCCGCAGGCAGGGCGCCCCTCCCGGGCAGGGCTGCACCTGGGCTGGGTGGGCGTGTGTCCCCCACAAAACAGGCGCCACCTCGGGACCCATTTCCACCTGCCTCGGGGTCCGCCTTTCATTTAACAATCGGCGCCACGTTTCGTTGGCAGGGCACTTCCGGGGCACGGGTCTGCGCTCCAAAGCCGTCAAAGTACAGTTTAAAACCCATGAGTTCCAGCTTCCCCTCTTTCAGGGAGCCCACCCCACCCCAGCAATGTCTGGAATCCTGGGATCCAAATATGTTGGTTTTCTGTGGCCCAGCACCCAGACTGGAGGGCCCTTTATCCAAATGCATGAAAGAGTCTTACTTTTTTTTTTTTTTTTTTTTTTTTATTTGGGAACCTCTTCTTAGCCCTTCCAGCCCTCACTTTTTCTGGGCTCCTGCACCTTATATAGTGTATACTCCACAACTTAATACTTCTCTTTCTTCTTGTGGTGCTTACAGATGTTTGTGTGACCCAAATTGGGTCGTAAGAGGGATGCATTTTACACTTCTCTTTACCCCTAGTTTTTCAGTGGTAGTTACGTATTAAATTTTTTTTTTTTTTTTTTTTTTTTTTTAATGTATCTGTTGCGGAGCCTAAGAGAGGAGTTGAGATCTTTAGAAAAATGCCATGAGGCCGGAAGAGCAGGCCCTGGCTACAGATGCACCCTGAACCCCCAACAGGGCGAAGGTAGGGGAGGCTGCAGGCCGGCCCTCTGTCGGGACAGCCGCCCCCCACCCCAAACTAGGAAGAACAAACATGCCACGCAAGGAACAAGGAGCTTTGGTCAGGCGGGAAGATCCGTTTTTCCAGCTCCTGGGGAGCAGGCACACGGGGCTGGAAGGATTCTCTAGAAAACAGCCAGACTGGGGGTCACAGAAGTACTCCAGGAGAGGCAGTGGCGCCCCCTCCGGAGAACGACACTAGTTGCTTCTTTGTTTTTCTCCAACTTAACTGGAAGGACAAAATCAAACGACTAGCAGACAAAGTGCACGTTGGTTACAGAGCTGCTGTGAAAGCAGCACTGAAACAAGTCGAGTCTGCTCACTCACTATACAGGGCTCCAAGTACACACATTCACACACACCCGCCGAAGCTCCCAGAACGCTGTGTTCACCACATCTCACTGTACACCTTCAGCATCTGAGGTGCAAGTCGTCAGAGCCCCAAACCGGAGCTCCAGAAGGGAAGGGGTGCGGGCCCTCCTGCTGGGGCCCACGTCCCGGCTCCGATCCCCACAAGCACAGAACCCTGCCCCCGCGGACTCCAAATTCCTCAGGGTCCCTGCTCTCTCTTGCTCCCAGCCTGGGGTTCTCAGAAAAAAGGGCAGAGGGACTCTAACTGGGGGAGAGGTATCTCACGCTAATTATTTCATCACTTGAGAGCCACACATCAGTGGCTTCTGCAAAAAGGAGATGGAATTTCAGAGAAGCGGACCAACTCCGCCCGAGTGTAATGCAGCGTCTGCTTTGGAAAGGAGGGGAAGGGCGGGAGTCGACGTGGCTGTGCCGGACGAGCTGCTGCTCGATGGACAGCCGAGAAGGATGAAATGTTAAAGGCGGGATGGGCCCGCTGCGAACCGCCAGGAGGCAGGACCAGAGAGGAATCTGGGGGTGATCACCCCTCCCCAGCAGACTTGCCGGCAGCTCTGGGCCTGGGCGCAGAGGCGGCGCTGGAAGTGGAAGGGGAGCTGGCAGGCTGGAGAAGACACAGTTCCAGCGGAGAGCAGGGTGGGGGGCTGCGAGCCCGGAGCCGTCCAGCCCCAGCGGCGCTTCCAGTTTGCCGGGTGATTCACAACAGCGGTGCCAGCAGCCCCCACCAGCAGCCGCCACTGGGGAGGACACTGGCCACATGGGACCTGCAAGAGGTAGACAGCAGAAGCGACACTGAGCTGACACAGGTGCCTGCTGCGTATACAGACGTCTGGTCCCGGGCAGCCCGGCCCGTGACCCAGAGCCTCGGCTGCAAGAGCTGGATCAGCCTCAGTGACAGCATGAAGGGCTCAGAGGCAGCCCGGGTAGCCCCACACAGCAGGTGTGGGTCTGGGCCGGGGAGCGGGGGGAGTGCAGGAGACCAATGCCTGGGCCAGGGGCTCAGCAGGAGGAAGGCCTGGGCAGAATTTGAGGGGCCCCAGGAGAGCCAAGCCCTGCCAACCTCAGGGGATGACCCAAGAGGAAGTTACGGGCACCAAACCAAGCTGAGTGGCAGGGGGAAGGGAAGAGAACACAACAGTTTGAGCCAAAATTACATGAACCCCCGGAGCTCTGGGACCTCAGCTGTTACGCCTTCCAGGAGCCAAAGGGAGAAATCACTCTGAACAGAGCTGGGGAGGGGGGGGGCCCGACCAGTGCCCTCTGGGGAATGTCTCTGTCCCTGGGACACCAGGTTTGGACCTCAGTGCAAAGCAAACCTCTCTATGGAGCAGGGACCTCTTCCCAGCAACCCCCCAGAGGGGCTTCCTTTGAAGTGGTGGGGCAACGGTGGCTCCCTCCTGCCCACCCCACCCCTGCCCCAGCCCCTCTCTTAGTCTGCAAGGAAGGTATAGATCACTGGGCACTCTGAGGGGCTCTTAGGCCTGAAAAGCCTGGGAAGGCAGAAGTGCAGGGCAGCCTAGGAGTCAAAAACTCCCACCAATCTCAGCTGGGGAGACCCCTCCAATTACAGAAGGAAGGCAGGGCCCAGAGAGGGTAAGCAACAGGCTCAAGGGCTCACAGCCAGCCCGGCTAGGCCAGGACCCGGGGCCACACCCTCACAGGGGAGGGCACCAGGCAGGACTCCGGGAAGAGGCATAACTGTCCTCAAGGGCCACGGGAGAAAGGTGAGGATACAAGAAAGAGGGGACAATGGACAGCTGCAGGAGGACAGACCGTCAGCACCAGACCCCGCCCCCCAAGGGCCGTGGGCAAACGACTCAAACAGAGGATGAGCCCAGGGGACATCCTCTCACTCCCAGAACGTGGCCACTTTGCCACAGGAGAGCCAGGCCCAAGATGGTGACCCGGGACGTCACACGGAGGGCGGGCACAAATGCCACTCGACCCTCCAGCAGGCAGCCAAGAAGCCGTACCTGCCAGCGGCTGTCGGTCCCTGGTCTGGGGGCTCCTCCCGTTAGGGCCTGCCTAGCATCGCTGTGGAAGCCTCAGGAACTCAGAAAGATGGTCGACTTTGTCAAACACTCCGGCTCCGGGCAGGCCTGCCCCCGGGATTACACAAACATCCACCCTAGCTGGGGCTTGCGTTGCAGGCGTGATGGGGCAGCAGCGACCGCACTGAGACCCCTGGATCTCACCCCTTCGCAGCCCAGGGAGCCCCCCAAGGCCAGGCAGGGTCCTGCCCCCCTCGCTGGCCGGACACTGCTGGACAGACACGGGAGGGAAAAAGCAGGAAAAGGCCTGTGTCTGCCGGGGAGAAGGCAGCCCGCTGGGGCCCCCCTGCTCTGCGCACAGCCTGGCCCTCAGGGCACCGACTCGAACTTGGGGGGCCCGCGCGCCCAGCTGAGCGCGGGCAGGGGCCGCTCGCGGTCCTTGTCGGACTCGGGCTGGCTCTGGGCCCGCTCGGGCTTGGGGTTGGCAGGTGGGTCGGGCTGCTGCACCGACATGGTCCGGCGCAGGTGGTTGCGCTTCCGCAGGAAGTCAGGCTGCGCGTGGAGGCCAAAGCTGCCTTTGCGCAGGATCATACGCGAGCTGTTCTTCTTGGGGCGCGAGCGGTGGCCGGCCTCCAGCGCGGCCAAGTGCGCGGCGTAGCCCTCGCTCAGGAACTGCGGAGGGGACAGGCGTCAGGCCAGAGGGGCAGGCGGGCCGTGGTCCTGCCCTTCCCCACACCCCAACATCGCCCTCTCCCCGGAACACCCAGCTGCTCCGGGACCTGGGGAGCTCATGAGCAGTCGAGGCTCCCCGCCCGGCTTTGGGCAACTGAGCGCTTCTGTCTGTACCCATGGGTCACGCCAGAGTTCCCTGGATTCCTGATGGGGTGAAGCTCCCATCCTTGTCACTTTCACTAAGATCCCCCAAAGGTAAGTCTCTCCCCTCCTCCAGCTTCTACCGCATGCAACCTCGTTATTTTCTGGCCCCCGCAGCTGCCCTTCTTGCCAATCCCTCTCCCTAGGTCCTCAGAACCTTTGCTACTCGAAGTGTGGGCCGCGGATCACAGCATCAGCACGACCTGGACCCTTGACGGGTAGAACGTCAGGCCCCAGCCCAGGCCTAGGAATCTGAATCTGCGTTTAAACGAGGTCTCCAGGTGATCTGTGTGCACCTTGGAGTTGAGAAGCCCTGCTCTAACGGTCCCCACTCTGAGGTCCCACCATCTCTGCCCCTCCACCTGCTGGTCACTTTCAGGCACCTCCCACTCAACGTGGCCCAAAGAGATCATCGCCTTCCATTCAGTCGCCTGCTTTTCAATCCCAGTAATGGTACCACCTACCTGGTCACCCAGGTCAGAAACCGGGCGTCATCTTTGACTTTCCCTTTCTCTCGACTCATGCATCTGATCCCTTCGTTACCAAATCCAATCCATCCTGCCTTAGAAGTGCCTCTCAGACGCTCGGCCTTCTCTGCCCTGCCACCGCCCGCTTCCCTCCCCTCTCCCCTTCCTCTGATCCGCCTTCCACCTGCAGCCTGATGGATCTCCCTGAATCACAAACTCACTCCAGAGCCGTAGAATCCCAGCTTGGCAAGACACACAGGCCATCCAGGACCCGCTGCTCCAGCCCCCTCTCCCTTTCCCTCCCACATCACACTCAGCCAAGCTGAGTCACTTGCAGTTCCCATAATATACATGTGCTCTGCCGTCTCCTGACCGTGGCTTTTGCTGCTGCCTCTGTCACAAAGGCTCCTCCAACCTCAGGCCCTTCCTGGATAATTCCTTCAAACTCCCAGAAAACAACCTTGTCCCTGAGTCCGGCTTAGCTGCTCCTCTCTGGGACCCCACAGTTCTCTGTGCTCCCTGTCATTCATTATGGCTCCTGCCACACTGCACTGTCATTGTCTGCTAATTTTTCCTTCTCCCCCACTAGACTGGATGACATGACATCCGATTCCACCGTGGATCTCCCCTGTACCCAGCGCAGGGCCTGGCCCAAAGCAGGCACCCAGTCGTGTTTGTGGAAGGAAGGGAGGGAGGGAGGGAGGGAGGGAGTCACTATTTGCTTATAATGAGCTTATAGTCTAATTCTTTGAGCTTTCTTTTTATTTGTTTGTTTATTTATTTATTTTTGGCTGTGTTGGGTCTTCGGCGCTGCAGGAAGGAAGGAAGGAAGGAAGGAAGGAAGGAAGGAAGGAAGGAAGGAAGGAAGGAAAGAACAAACGACTGAATGAGCAAACAATGGAATAAACCTCCTCTTCCCCTCTCCCCTTTTGTTGGTTCCACCCCCTCACCCCCCACCCCCCAGCCTCACCTCTACCCACCTGGCACTGGGTTTGATGCTTCTTGGTGGGCCGGCCCACAATGAAGATCTGGGAGGGTGGCAGGCCTAGCACGCTGTAGACGGAGATGTCCTTCGTGGAGCCATAGGCCGCACTGATTTTGATGAAGCACTGAAACACAGGGCAGCTGATGGAGGGAGAGGGGGCCCAGCGCATCCCCACAAAGGACTCCTAGATGTCCCCCCAGGGAGCACTGCCGGGGGACCCTTTATCTGCACACTGATAGACTGCAAGTCATGGGACCACCCTGCATCAGGAACCACCCCCTGCAGTGGCCTCCCCTCCCGCCCCAGCCCCTGCACCGAAAGCCTGATATGGGCTCCACCTGTGAATCACAGCCCCACCATTTGCTGACCCCACGTGAGGAACGCGATCCGTAGGTTACGAACAGTGGGGCAAAGTGCTCCTCTGTGGACAGGAAATTGAGTGCCAAGTTGACACAGTCCAGGGCCAGGACTGGAGGCCAGTTCTGTCCTGCCAATTCTGCCCTCTGGTTCTCCTGCCTGTCCGTGCCTTTCTCTCCATTCCACGACTACCACCTGGATTCTGGTCTTCTGTCTCTTGCTTGGGCAACAGCCTCCCAACTGGCCTTCCTAACCCTCGTTTCTCCCGCCAATCTGTTCTCCATACAGCTGCCAAAACGATCTTTCTACCACCCAAATTAGACGCTGCCACTCCCCTGCCTTAAGCTTTTCCATGGCTCACCATTACCCTCAGCAGAGAGTTCACAGTCTTGCCCAGTTTCTAAGGTTTTCACGGCCTGCCCAGCCCAGGCGCCTGATCACTTCCGGGACCTCAGCTCCCACTTGACCTGAATGTGATCCAGCACATACCCCCCATCCTGAATACCTGCAGCTCTGAGAACATCCCAGGCTCTTTCCTACCTCGGTGCCTTTGCACATGCTGTTTCTTTGGCCACCGGACAAACTCATACTCATGCTTCAAGACTCAGCTCAAAAGTTACCACCTCCTAGAAGCCTTCCCCGGCCTCTCCAGACAAAGCTAGGTCCTTTCTCCTCTGTTTTCCCAAAGGGTCTTTTCTAATCACCCACCAGTAAACTGTCAATTTCCAAGTTTTTCTTCCTGTAGATCAGGGATTGGCAGACTCTTTTGGTGAAAGACCAGATACTAAATATTTTAGGCTTTGCACTCTGTTGCAACTACTCAACTATTCCATTGTAGCTGAAAAGCAGCCATAAACAACCCGTAAGCAAATGAGCATGGCTGTGTTCCAGTAATACTTTATTTATGGACACGGATATTTGAATTTCACATAATTTTCACGTCATGAAACCTTATTCTTCTTTTGATTTTTTTTTTCCCCCAACCATGTAAGAGAAGTAAAACCATTCTTAGCTCACAAGTCATATAAAAACCATGGGCCGGATTCAGCCCCTGGGCCATGGTTTGTCAACCCCGGCTCTAGATCAGCAGTTCTCAAAATTTTGTAAGCATCAGAATGCCCTGGTGGGCTTGTTAAAATACAGATTGCTGGGCCCCCTTCCCAGAGTTTCAGATTCAGTAGGTCTCCAAGGGGGGCCAGAGACTCTGCATGTCTAATGAGGTCCCAGGGAACCCTGTGCCACGGCGCACGCAGTGAAAATCACAGCTCTAGGACATCCTGAGTTCTGTTTGCCTCTGTGCATCCCCAACACCCAGGACAGGGGAGGGAACACACTGGGCACTTAAGTGTCTGCTGAAGGGATAACCAGATGCAGAGACAAGAGTTTAGGCTTTCGGGTCAGAAGATAAAGGATGAAAGGGTGACTCTGAGATCCCGGGCACATCCCTAAGCCTCACCTTTCTCACTTGCCTGTAGGGATAATAAGACACACCTCGCTGGGCAGTAAGAGGACCAATGAGGTGCACGTGAATGTGCTGTGCACGCTGGGCATCCGCTTGGACAATCGGAGGATGTGGGGTAAAGGAGGAGGCCCGCCCCACCCCGGGTTGAGGGAGGGGGGGAGGGGGAGGGGGAGGGGGAAGTGTCTATGGGGCCCGGGCTGCTGAAGCAGCGCGCTGCAGCATCGCGGCTGCACAGGGCAGCCGCGA